GGGAGCCCCCAGGGCTGGGGGAGCTCCAGAGGTGGGACAGGACCCTGGCACCACGGCATGCCCCGTTCCATGGAATCATTCTCAGGATGCTGCCCATCTGCATTTCCTCCAGGCTGTGCAGTGTCTGCTCCTATAAACCCCACTCAGCAGTAACAAAAAGCCCTATTTCCACACCCTTCGCAGCAGTCAGGGCCTGGGTGCACACAGAGAGGTGCCAACACCTCCCTTGCCCCTTCTGCAAATTTCAGTACTTAAAAGGGGGTTTATAAAAAGATGGAGAGCCCAGAGTTTACACAGACAGATAGGATAGGACAAGGAGGGGACAGTTTTGAACTAAAGGAGGGGGAGATTTAGATTAGATGTTTGGAGGAAACTCTTCCCTGTGAGGGTGGTGAGATGCTGGTACAAGGTTCCCAGAGAAGCAATGGATGCCCCATCCCTGGAAATGTTCAAGGCCAGGCTGGACAGGGCTTGGAGCAGCCTGGGATAGTGGAAGGCACCCCTGCCATCCAGGAGATTGGAGTGAGAAGAGCCTTAAGGCCTTTCCAAACCAAACCATTCTATGGTTCCATTATTCTGCCCTGCATCCATGACCCAACATGCTCAGGCAGTGCACGGTGGCACTGGGATAACACACGGGGCACGGGGCCAGCAGCACAGCCCTGCAGCCCAAATGAGGGCTGGGTGGTCCTGAAAAGCCACCACTGGGCTGCACAAGGACGGGACCTGTGGCAACGTTCCCCCTCCACGGGGCTGCGAGATTCTCTGGCATGAATCCATATTCCTGTTTACAAACAGCCGCCCGTGGAGCTGTTCCAGCAGCACTATTGTGCTGCACGGCGGCCAAATCGGCCGGGGGTTTGTCCACCAGGCCCACGAAACCCTCAGGGCAAGAATGCTATTTTTAGTGTCTGGCCAAGCACCTTGTGCATTTAGCTAAGGAAATTCAGAATTCTCCGCTAACACCGGTGGAGACCTCAGTGTTCAAGGATCTCACTGCGTTGGTGACATGGCACCAGCGTTACCTGCTGGTTAAACACCAGCCCTGGAGGTCACTGGAGCACCCAGAGCTTTATTTTCATGACTTGACAGTGCCCACGGGACCATGGCCAAGCCAGGTTTTGCCGGGTGCAGAGCAGCAGAGCCATGTGGGGGTTGTGCCGGGTGTGCCCCTGCGAGGCCTCCCAGAGCCTTTTCATAGCTGAGGAAAATAATCCCAGCGCAGTGCGTGACTAATCGGTAGCTGCTCATCGAGCTGCTTGAATAGGGTTTCTCAGAGCCTAGGTTTGGCCAGGGCAGGCCTGGAGCAGCTTGGCTCCTGCCAAAACACCCCACTGCCCATACCCCCTGCCTGGGGGGGCCCTGCTCCCTGCCCTCAGGCACCGTCCCTTGGGGTCACCATCGTGAACCCACGCTCTGCTCAGAACACTTTTCCTCTCTCCAGCGAAGAGCAGCTTTGTGCTCAGTGGGCAGGTTGGGATGTCCCATTGGCACCAAGAAGGAAGTGATGTTTAAACACTCACTGTCCCACAGAACCAAGATGGGTGATGTGGCTGTCCCTGAACCTGGCACGAGGCTCCCCGGCGTGTTCGGCAACACTGTCACCATCTCCCTGCTGTGATTCTCCCAGCCAG